GCCAGAGAGGAATTGAGTGGAGGGGTGTAGCATAGTTCTGCCTGCTGAGTCATTACTCTGCCCTGGATTTCACCTAGTATGTACCATGAGTAGGAAATGTTTATTTGGATGTATATGTCAGAGTTGAAATTTTCAGAACAGTTGTAGAAGGAAAAATATCTTTTTAATTACTCTCCTCAGTAGGTAGAGGTGGAAGAAATCTAATAGGTCTGTGAGTCAGATCTCTAGAAAACAGAATTTTCTGTCTTTTGGAATAATTATGCTTGATGACAGTAATAAACATTAGGTTTTCACAGATGCATGAGGACTTTAGCAGGGTTTTTAAAAATGTTTTTGATGTTGCATCTGCTCACCTGTGTTTTTACACTCTTGAGTCTAATTATATTTTTGAAAAAATTGTATGACATTGTTATCCTTTAGATAGTCTGAAATATACATAATTGAATAGTTTATGTTGGAGTGGGAACGTTTGCCTTGTGGCTCCCATTAATTCAAGCCACCATGGGCACTGGTTAGGAATGAAAGAACTTACCTTCCTACAACATCTACAGATCCGTATATTCCCTGCCAATGTTTTACTCTTGCTAGTATCATCCTGAATACACTAGAAAATGAGAATCTGTGTTCTGTGCTTATGATGGTGAATACACATCCCTGACAGTAATAACTTTAGCTGCTGTGATGGAATAGTGTGTTCACAGACATTCCAGGTGTTCAGGAAGTTTAAGGGCCTGAACAGACTGCCAAAACTAATCCAGTTTGAGACCACTTTAACTGCCCTGGCTCAGTGCTAGGGAATCATGGGAATTGTAGTTTTTTTCTGAGACATTGAGCCTGCTCTGTCAGAGAGCTCTGGTGCCATAATAAACTACAGTTCCCATGATTCTCTAGCACTGAGCCAGGATAGTTAAAGTGGTCTCAAGCTGGTTTATTTCTGGCAGTCTGTTCAGGCCCTAACTTCCAAAATACTGTTTCTGTGAGGTAAATTGCAATTTTGGACTGGGATTAAAATCTGTGAAAATCCGAAGGAACAGCTAGTTTATTAGGATAAAATAAAGGTTAGAAAAATATCCTGGAAGGTAGAAGAGGTGAGGCTGGAATTTCATTGGCATGATTACTGCAGGAAGGATGCTGAGTAAGAATGGAGAATAAGGAACATAAGGAGAGATTAAAGATGATTAAAGAAAAGAGCAGAGAAAAAGAAACAAATGCTGTTAATAAGAGGGTTAAGTGCAGTTTGATTATCACATACTGACTTGAAAGTCTGAATGTTTGGACTGCTGTAAAGCAGAAACTGGGTAATCTAGTATTAGAACATAAATTTATATCTGCAGATAATTCACTGCTTAAATAAGTTAACGTTTGATCAGTTTTGATTCCAAATGTACAGATACTAACATTTGTTAATAAATACTCAAAGAGTATTTGTTCTGCTATTACTGGATGAGGCCAGAAACATAAGCTGTTAAACTGGTTTCTTGTAAAATTACATGAAGCTTTTCATTCTTTGCCTTAAGTGTTTGTATTTATGAGTTATTTGAGCAACATATGTGTTGATTTAAGCATTCTTATTTTTAGGGAAAGATGGGGGATTCCCGAAACCTTGTTTTGATTAGTGCTAGGGATAATTGTGTAATGTGTAAGATCAGTTGAGACCACAGCAAATACCACCTGCATGTGATGAATCACCAGAGTGTAGGTGGCATGTCTTCTGCTTCATCAGTTAGTGGTACTAAAGAATGTTTGGAGAATTGTCAGGTTAAAAAGCACAATGTTTATGCTCTCATCTTAACTTGATTACAATATTTCCTTTTAAAGTGTTTTTGACTTGATTCTGGGGCAAAGTATGAGTTGCTTCATTTGTTTTGTATGTGTATATACTGACACCTCCAGACTGCAGTCAATGTTCTTGTGTGCCTTAAAGTCCATTTATTACTTGAAACAACCAAAAAGCAAATCTTACACTGGATTTTCTTAGGAAAATTTGTTCAGAAGTGATTTGCCATTGCTTTCCTTTCATGCTGAGAGAGCCTGATTTACTCAAGATCATTCATTAGGGTTCCATGGCTGAGCCTGGAACTCAAATTTCTAGTTCATCACTCAAACCAGTACACCATGTTGACTGAAACTTTTTTCCCCAAACGAGTAAGACACTGCTGTCATGTGTTACAATCTCCATAATAAATCTTAATATTCTAAAATAGAAAGTGTGGCTATCTCAAGAATTTCATTTGTATAAAGAATTGCTGTTAATCCATAAGATTTTTAAGCAGAAACAGATATCAGTATTCTCTTTCTCATTTCTCTTTCCTGCCTGCCCTATATATAGTTTGTTTTAAGCCACTTAAATGGGAAGTCATATTAAAATAAGGGATGCTGAAAAATAGTGGGTGTTGACAGGTCAAAACCTTTCAGGATCTCATAAGAAAGGGTCAGTTTTTCTTGCCACCAGTAAACCTTGACAACTATTAGCTGAATTGCTTGATTTTGTAGGAACCTGAAAGGGCTGGAAAGACAGGACATTGTTCCCAGTGTCCTGTCTTCTGACAGGTAGCAGATTGGATGCCACTGTCATTGGATGCCACAGGGGAACAAACTCAAGAGTGCCTTAGAGGTGGAGAGAAGGAAACAACTGATTCAGGTGGCCTCAGAAAATAAAAAAAATACAAAACAGACCCAGAAAAAGAAAGATGGAAGAAGGCAATGGTGCAGGTTGGGATGGTGAAAAGGGACTAGGTGACTGAGGTAACAAAGGCTAGAAATCTGCCCAGCAGTGCGTGTTTCTGGTTGGATAAAGGTGTTATGCTGTCAGATATTTCTGGAAGTAAAACATTTAAGGAGCTATGTAAAAAAATGTAAGGAAGAGCAAGGATGTCTGAGTTTTGTATATGCCCTCTGCATTGGAGGAAGTTTTCATGTCACCATTAGGCAGATCTTGAACCAAACATGGCTTGCCATGCACAGATACTGTGTTGAAGGAAAGAAATACCGCTAAACAGAATAAACTTGAAGAAAATGCTAGAGTGTTTGTACACTTCTGGTTGTGTGTACTTTAAATTACAGTGTGGTTGAATGACCTGTGGTTCAACAATAACAGTATAAATTAGAGATTTTAATTACTAGAGTCTTTTTTCATAATTTGCATGTATTTCAATCATCTATAATCCTGTTCCCTCTAGATATTGAAGTTGCCTGTTATGGCTATGAAGGTATTGATGCAGTGAAAGAAGCTCTGAGGGCTGGTCTGAACTGTTCTACAGAGAGCATGCCCATCAAAGTAAGTAGTATCCATAAGTTCATGTGATCTGGAATATTTTGAAAATAACAGTTTCTCAGTATCCTAATGAAATGGGACAGTTGGGTTGATAGCTGTTGTTGTTGTTGTTATCTTCATCTACCCATCCACATTAATTGAGTGGGTAGATTTTGAAAACTACCAGTTTAGCTGGAATTTACCATTTAACTTTACCTCTCTCACCAAAACTACATTGTACACTTCTTCTGATAACACAGATTAACAAATTCTCAAAACCAACAGTTGTCATGCTATGTTCTTTTTTTCCACAAAATAATCCATCTTTTAGCTGGATTCCAGTCTTTTAGAAATGTCATGAATTTTCTCTAATTAATCTATCTCTGCTAATTTATTCAGTAGGTAATATAGAATTCTTCCATTTTTATGCATACAACAGTCTTGCTACGGTGGTCATATATTGAGGTGGTTTTCAAACCTCTTTTCCTACTGTTCACAAGTCCCACTCCAGAAAAGTTCTGGTTTTAATTTAATGCTAACCTTTAGAATTAAAAAAAGTTGTATATATTATTGAGATGATGGCAAAATTTGCTTTGGCTGCTATTAAGATAAGAGCTAGATATTGAAAGCATTTTAATAGTAAAAAAATAATAATAACAGTAAAGTTTTAATGGTAGAGAATTTTATCATGCTGGTTTGTTAGAACAACGTCGTACATTTGCTACATTTTTATATCTTTGACAATTTTTGGTTTTATAATTCTTATTTTGTATTTGGTGCCAAATTTTAAAGTTATTCTGCCATTTGGCTT